CATCACTTTAGCCAGGAAAACTGATGTCCATCAGCCACTAATGTTATTATCTAGTCGCTTCTGAAATGCAAGACCTTTAGTTTCACAAATTAAAAATTTCAAGGGGAAATTTTATTAATTCAAAATGCACATGTATTATGCAAAAACCTTGACAGTATCTGAGAACGGTCATTGACACTACATGATTAGATTTCATACTTTAGGAGAGGTTGAGAGGAAACAATGTCAGACATCATGATTTACTTGCTAAATCAAGTGCAAAGTGACTGTGAAAAACGAGCATCGGTGCATGAGTTAGGAGACGGTGCTGAGTGGTACAGAGCGGGTGAACATTTAAAAATGCAGGAAAAAAACACAGCAGCTCATTGGATAATTAGCAGATAATCTCGAGGAGCATTCCCTGTGCTCTCCATGTCTCCTGGTAACCATTTATCCAAGCATGATCACAAAGATGGCTGGTTTAAACATCTCTTATCAGGAAATGACAGCAATTTCTCTCCTAGTGATTACGTCACGGTTTCATTAATCGTTTCCTTCCATTTTCCTCCGGGGCCTCATGCACACACCCTTTCCCTGGCTATAAAACGATCTAAGATAAAAGCTGCTTGGTCATACAGGAAGAATGTACTACCACAGCTGGCCTATGTTTAACTATCAATAGTTGATTCTTTCAAAATCCTTAACTCTTGGAAAAATATTTAACCACAAGAAAAAAGAAAAAAAAAGGTGCAAAGTCGCATTAGCAAATTATTATACACACATTGTACTTGAAGACCTTGAGTCCAAGTTATTAGAGTAAACGGTTAAAGCTGAAACATGCTCTGTTAATGAATCACTAGTCTAACATCATCAGTTAACACATCACAACGACAAACAGCATTACACGCCCGCACAAAATTAACGTTTCACAGAGGGACAAATACGTAAATGTTTAATTTAGGGGAAAACAAAACAGCATTCAATGAAAGAGACCTGCAGCAGACGCAACAGTCTCCTTTTCATGCACATTTACAACAACAGCACAGAAAAGCACCTCGATTACAAAAAAATATCCTAAAAGGAAACAGCTGTCCAGTCCAATACAGCCAGAGGAAGTAGCAATGCAGACGGACAATATGTAAAAGTAAGACAAACTCAGCGACAGGCGGGTAAACAGTCGGCGTACTCACATGGGTCTCTGCTTATGAACTGTGGCCCGGGGCTTTGCTGGGAAGGAGGGGGGTTGGGAGTGCCTACCAGCTTGTTTTTGGCCATCTTGGTGTTGGCCTTGGCGAACTCCAGCCGCAGAGTCTGGGGAATCTCTGGGTCAAATCGTACCCCCTGAGATGAATGAGACAGATATGTTAGCGCAAATATTGTTTAGTGGAAAGCTTTTAGGACAGGTGAGTCAGAACTGAGGGAGCACACTGACAGGGGTAATGCATATGGACAAGTCTTTAAAAAGGAAATATGAAGCATTTTAGCTGTGAGATTGTATCCATGTCTTAGCACTGAAAGCAGGTGTCATGAGTCATTAATCCAGCGGGCCCCAACCCCCGGGCCACGGACCGGTCCAGTTGTTTGGTACCGGGTCGCAAAAGTTGAGTCTCCGGTGTTTTCAGGGTTTTTATCGTTAACTCGGTTTCCCTGGGTGTTGTAGTTGTGTGTCTTATTTTGAAAGAAATATTTAGACGTTACCATAGTGACCAGAGCGCATTAAGGGGCAGAGAGGAGGATATTACTCTCAATGTTTTTGGCGTATTTCAGGAGGACGCTGCTAATAAAGTTACACAATTACACAGTGAATTCGCATTTATTATTATATTTATAAAATACCAAAGTTTTTGTCTTAGCAGTATAATTTTATTCTGTTGTATTTATTCACGACACCTTAAAGGCCGGTCCGTGAAAATACTGTCTGACATTAAACTGGTCCGTGGCGCAGAGAAGATTGGGGACCGCTGCATTAATCAAAATCTGAGTTCTGCCATATCTGATATTCAGGGGTGCTTGAATTATATTTTAATTATTATATGCAGTTGTGTTGAGGAATAATATTTCCTCAACACAAATGCATATAATCAGATTTATTGTCATGATTAAATCAAGTTCATTTTCACAGGTAATATAACTTCTACATGCATGTTGTTGAATAGTAGACAGGTTGTTGTGGCACAGACTGGAACCCTGGATATTTCAGTTCTTGCATTTGGTTTCAACTTATCTTAAATGCCGACCGTTTCCATATTTAAAATGTTTTTTTTCTCTTACTGCTCCCAGTCGAAATATAAGCGCAGACAATCTGTTTATAACGTCCTTATCTGTCTTTTGCTTTCCTGGAAGGTTTAGTGAAGTGAAATTAGCGCATGATCAGCACATGATGACGCTTTATGATGTTAAAAATGCAACAGCTAATACCTTGGTTTGGCATTAAAGAGGCTGACCAAATAAATAAGTCTGCTCATTAGTGAAGCGATGATGTTATAAATAATAGGGAGCGACTGACAGACGTGCCGCCTTGTTCCTTTAAGTAGTGACGAAGCAGACTAATTTAGCCCACAGCACTTATTAGATAACGCGTACAGTTTCCATTGCTGCACTTCCTGTCTTGTTATCTGTTGTTTAGCTTGATCTGGAATTGTCACTTTGTCCACTTTTCATCATCTCAATTTCACAGTACAATTTACTGCTGAAATCTTGGCGTGACGAGAGCGTTTTCATTTGTTTAGCCTTTGAAGCTGCTTATTCTGAGCGACACATGCAATGGGAAATCAGAACTTGATGACACAAACCTGGCTGGCGCATGATGTCATTTACAACACAAGCAGACAAGCCACAAGGCCGTCACTCTGTTCCCCACTGAACTGCAGTGTAATTTAATACCATGACATCAAATACCCTGACATACGCCAGGCATCACCGCTTAGAGTGAGCCAAACATTTTGGCGAATTCTTGAGATGCCACTGCTCACGACAGGCCAAAGGAAAAAGCTGCCCTGCCATCAGATCTTCATCAAACATCTCCACATATGGGGATTAGAAAAACAACAGGAATGTGGCATCGTCAAAGTTGCTATTCATTTACTCCGCTTGGACACATTTTTACCAGGAACTATAAACGCCCTGAAATTAACCTCATTTGATTGCCTGTAAATGATATAGAAAAGCACGAAGGTCAGCTCAGCGGAGGAGAAAAGCAGCCAGGAGTGTATGTTCTCGGCAGCAAACGAGAACTTGCACTCATCCCTGCAGGCTCGGGCAAAGCAAGGCTGAAACAAGCGAGGGATGACTCTTCTCATGAAGGGGAGGGAATTAACTGGGATTGCCTCGGCTCAGCGCACTCGCGGCTTCTGCCAGTAGAGGCTGCAGAGGTGTAATAAGCTACATGGCAATAATGAGGCCCGAGCACACCTCTGCTTGAAATGTGTTGAATATCTACCTCGAAATGTCTTTTTATAGCACCTTCTCCATGTAGAGCTTTGATTCTGACTGTTGGAGGTAATTCAGTTTTTGGTTTTCGAGGCTCACAGCTTGGAGGGAATATAAGAGAGCTACTATGATAGGAAACAAATCCCCAAATTCTCCCAGTTTTCTGCGTCTTGCCCATATTTCAATATGCAGATGGATGTTTGCAGAATCTGGCTTATCTCCATATGACCCCCCGGGACGTAGCTTTCCCTGAAAAACAAGAGCAGCGTTGAATTCTCAGCCCCACTGAGCCCTTCTACGGAAACAGTCTCGCTGTTGTTGGCTCATAATAAGATGATAATTTTTATCCTTTGTTCAACTCTCTGCTCTACGTTTGACGAGCACCAATATCTCGACATCTGAGAAAGTTGACACACCGCTCGCGCTGTCACGGTCCCACTTAAGAGGAGGGCCGTTAAAGTGATCTGCTGCCTTCATAAAGACATCAACAAAAACTTAAGAGGCAATCGGAGGAGGGCGGTGCATGGTGAAGACAAAAACAACAATGGGAAAACAAAGGTGTAGGAGACAGGCGGCGTTCATTACCGTCTGTCTACACTTTGTTTCAAACGAGTCGAATAAAAACCGCGTGAGAAGATGAGCTCTGTTTTGTATTAGAGTCTGCCTCATCAAGGCTTTCTACTGAGCCACATTCTGAAATACGAGAGATTAAAATTAAACCCTAGATCAATATCTTCTATTTTTATGTGGAAGAACAGCTAATTTTCTTCTGACCTTGCAGGATCTCTCGCAGAGCTTAAAGTAAAGAAAAAAGACTTTATTTACTCAAACAGAAACATTCAGACACACGCTATTTTAGAGCAGCTGTGATATATTTGCCTTCGCTGCTTCACTTTTCAGCTTTTTCCTCGTGCGACAGAAAACGCTTTCCCCCCCGCTTTCAAATACATTTGCACTAAAGGCAGTAAAAAAAAAAAAGATGAGATTTCACGAGAAACACTAGAGCTGAGCTGGAGCACAACGAGGGCATGACACTTACGTTCAAGGCATTCTTAGCAGCCTCCGCCTCTGATCGACTGTCAAAACTGACAAACCCCACCGGCTGGGGAGACAAGGAGACAGAACAAAAGAAAGAAACATGGTTTAAGGCAGAAAACTGAGTCGGCATTTCTGTCTGAGTGACAAAGACATGTTTTTATATATATATATATATATTTTTACATCTTAGCATACCCCACCCCCTACCTCTCTGCCTCCCTCTCCCTCTCTCCTGTTTATAAAACCATTGCGACAGAACGGGGAGGGGGAGGCGGAGGGCGGTTGGAGGCTGGACGCACTTTCATTGTAAAGTTCATCATTCGGCTCCCCTTTGCCCAAATACGGGCAATGCAGGAGTGAGAACAAGCATGTAAGAGTTTAGTGTGAGACAGGCAGAGAAGGGAGTAAAAGCTGAAAAAGGAGAAGAAGATAGAAAGGAAGGGGGGAGGGGGAAGGAAAGGGAATTTCAAGGGTTAAAGGTGAAAATGAAAGCAAGTGAGGCGACGGGTAGAAAAAGTTGTTGTTTTTTTTCTTAAAGACCTCCTCAAACAGGCCTGTCAGTGCAGCATTTTCTCATTCGCATCTGTTTCACCCACACTTGTTTTATATTCCAGCGACATCGCTTCAAAGCCAGTAGTAAAGGTGAGGAGAAATAAAACAGGAAAAAAAACCACACACTCACAGGGGTGTAGGTGCGGTTGCAGGATTTCTGACTGCAGATATGAACAGAAAATACGTATTTTTGTCTTGTATGTGGATGGGGACGTTGGGAGAAGGTGGGGTGGTGATGGTGGTGGTGGTGGGGGAGAGATTGCAGAAAACTCTAAACATGTTACTCCCATGGGGTCACACTGCTGTGTGTGATCTGGAAAAGCAGTCTAGGGTTATGGGAATTCTGAAGAAGTGCAGTGGAGGAGGAGGAGGAGGATGTGGAGGAAAAGAAACCCCCCGAAAAGTAACACAAAAAGAAAAGAAAGACTAAGTGAAGACGTCAGGAGGAGGAAGCATAACAGGAATATAAATAGAAAGGCTCTGAGATCAGGCTTTTGCTATATATGGACATGGCTGGGAGTTCTTGGACTGGAAGAGAGAGACAGAGATCGATTGATTTGCGTGGTCATTGTCATTGACATTAACAGGGAGGAGAGCTGCTCCAAACAAACCCTGGGGAAATGGGGGGCAGCACTTTGTCTTAACATAAGCATCAGTTCACAGCAGTTCTCTCGCTGAAGATGCCACTTAGGGAAACATCGCTCCGAGTCACAGTTTAATCACAAATGTAAAATGGGTGGTAAAGTCCATCATAGTCTAAAAGCCAAATATTCTCCAGGGGCTGAAAATTAAGCTAGTGCAGTTTCTCTAGTGACCACTTGAGGCTGCCAACAAAAGCGAGTCAATCCCCATAGACTCTCATGTTAAAATGTCCTACTAAACAGCATTAAATAGCATCTTACAGCAAGCTGTTCAAGTCTCGGTTGATAGTTTCTTCCTTCATAACAAGTATATCATACATGATGTTTTTAATAATTGATTGATTGATCGATAGGGTAAGGCTGAAACTCAGGGGAGAGGCTGCTTCGACTGGCAGGTGTCCCAAAACAGGTAGCTGCAGCTTGGCTAACTTAGGTGGAACTATCTGACAAACAACACAGCGTGCTGTGAACAACACTATATGGACAAAAGTATCGAGCCACACCTTTTAATCTTTGATTTTGGCCATTTTCAGGCCCTCTGTCACACGTGTATAAACCTTGTAGGTGCTTGACTGTAAGAAAATAACTGGCAACAAAACCACCAAACAAGTGAGAACAATGAGGCCTAGAGTGAAGAACCGTTAATGCTAAATTAGACTTCAATTATAGATACATACATTAGAATGAGTTTTTCTGAATGCACGCAATAGCAGTGAAACAAAAAGAGAGAGCCTAAAGCTTTCCTTTGTACTTGGTCTCAGGAATAGTTTTAAGGTATTACACTCAGCAAGTTCAACCTAAATCGCTTTAAACCCTTCTAATGAGCATGTCATGTCTTTATGAGAAACAGTGTAAAGTGGCAACAAGTAAGCTGACATGAAGCTAAATTGCTCCACTCTGGACGTGGACACCTGCCAGCTGGGCTCATTTTCAGTCCCGCAACCCTGGAGGCAAAACTCAACCATCAGTGCTGCTCTTGTCAAAACGCTCACTTTGACACCTCGAAACTCTTTCCCCGTCTCTCTTCCTCGTCCTCCCACAGCCCACCAGTCGACTCGCTGTAACTACAAGCACTACATCCGACTGCCAAAGGCAAGTTGGTGCAACACTTTTCCCCTCCCATCGTTCTCCCTCCCTCTTTGTTATTTGTTATTTTCTTTTCTATTAAAGGCACTTCCTGCTAATCCTTCTTTCTCAACAAGCTAAACACACAAAGAGAGAAGAAAAAGATGCAAAGGTGTCGATGAGCAAGAAGTAATGTGGACAGTAACAGCGTGATCAGAGACTGACCGGCTTCACTCAGGAGTTTCTTTGAACACAGCACAGATCCAAGACTTGTTAGCATACCTGTTTAGAAGTGAGCTTTATCAAGGAGCCTTCATAGCCCTGAAAAAAACAGAAAACAAAATGTCAGAAATACACATAACAAAGCAAAAATTCAACTTTAGTGGCTAAAAAGCTGCAAAACACGCAGACTGCTTACACTTACAAAACCTTACTCAAAAATGTTGGCATGTTGGGGTCACGGCGGACTAAGCTTGGCAGTTTCACAGGTCACGGCGCTCTTATGAAGACCATATGGACTAGATTGTTGTGTCTTACCTGATTAAGCAAGATTTACTGCTTTCAACACTCGTGATGCAAACCATTTACTCAGAGCACATACCATGGACATTGCTTAAGTGAGTGATTAGATGCATTAATCACTTAAACAGCGCTGCTGCTGCTGCTGCACCATTAAGGTGCGTTAGTCTTGGTCGATAGTTCAAAAAGCTTGCAACATCTACATGTATTCACCTGAACTAAACTCTGGGGGTCTGTGTGCTTGCAACAAAGTTGGTGCTTCTGAGATGAAGCAAACAGCTTTGTTTTTGTTTCGCAGGCATTGAGCCATTTTTCCATGAGACATAAGCTTCCCATGGATCAAGATGTGATTGAACGTCGGCTTTAAGAACACAGACACTTAAACCTCGCGGGAAAGTTTCCATTGCCGTTTATTTCATCACCATTAATGGAGGTCCCATTGACTGCTGGAAAGTAAGCTGCTAAGAATAGCAGCAGGCCATCCATTTAAAACATACAAACATACCTTAAATGGTCTGAAGAGGAGATAGAGCTCCCGCGGTTTAATATCCAGTGGTAGCCCACTGACAAATAGTGTTCGGACCTGAGGAAGACACGAGAGAGAGAAAGATCATGTATTTTTCATTAACCTCCACCAGTTATAAATAGCTACATTGCCTTTCTGACAATAACAGATGAGGTTAGGAGGAAAAAGGACAATGAGCATGAGTTAAACAGTTACCGAGGCTGGCTTTACACTGAAAGATAAACTTTTTAAATCCAGATATGGGTGTCTTTCAGCTCTGCAAACACACTAAGACACACACTGCGTTCTACAGTAAGAGCATTGTGTTCTCCTGTGTAATCTACAACCTGCAGTGTTTTATGGCAACCCTCCCTCGCAGCTCTAGCCTCTGTTTTACATTTGAACTTTTCAACTTGAAACTTGAGCTGGCATTGCTGGGGAATTATAATGTAAATGTTAGCTACAACAGACTAAATGGAAATGTAATTGTTGTGGTCCACAGCCCATAGTCAGAGAAGGTGCAAAATAAGAATAACTACAAAAGTGCTTTCAGGGAAGGACGGGGTTCTTATGTTATTACATGCGATGAGGAGGAGGAAATGAACGCAGCATGATCGCTGGAGGTGTGCTGAAGGTAAAACTTTTTAAAGCTTTTCATTTCAAGTGTGGAATCTCTAGTGTTTTTGAGTTTTTTTTAGAGGATACAAAGTGCATAAACCCCCTAAGTGTCAAACCTTAGATGAGAAAAAATAGTTAGGTGACGTCAGAGAAAGAGATACCGGACATGCTCGAGTGGGGGTTAACTCACCTGCACAGAGACTAGCAATAAATCTGGAAATTGATTTGGAAACTAAAGGACTGCACTTTAAAATGTATTGGGTATTCATTTTATTGTTTTGTTTAAACAGTGTTACACAAGAAGTTTGGTACTGTTGTCAAATCTGTATAATATATGTAAAGCAAACCTAAGCAGCAAGTTAGCTTAGCTTAGCATTAAGACTAGAAACGCAGAGCACAACCTACTATGTGTTTGTCTGAAGATTAGGTTATTAATACTTCTGAAGCCGCTATATTAATCTCGTTTCTTCTAAATGTTTCGCATGGCTTGACTCTTGTTCAGTTTGTAAGCATGCTAAAACATACCAACGAGTCCAATATTGATTTTCTTGCATTCCTTTCACAAGTTAAATGTTTAGTATGATAAGGTGAGCGCCTCACCAAGGCCTCAGTCACACAGGCCTTTGCTCGCTGACAGAACATTAAACTAAACAATACTTCTTACAGATTTTCTTTCTTTGTCTTTCACTCTCAGAGGCCTCGTAGGCCCTCCTTCATAAAAACATCTTTGTGTATAAAAGTTATATGTAACAGGTTTTCTCTGCACACATTCTGAAAATCGAGTCTCACAGGACAAACTGCTGTTTGGACAAACTGAACATTGGTCAATAAACAACACAGAGAACACAGGAAACAATGTGTCCCTTCAGTTATCATATGCACACACAGAGACCTCTGCAAAATCAACAGAAACCCTTCATGTATGTTCAGTTTTACCTCAGTCCAGTAATTAAAAACAGTGTCCCAACAGAAACATCTCTACTGCAAGATTCATGAATAATTAATACCATCCTGGTTTGGCAAAACAATAACACGAGTTACCTTAAGTTAATTAGTCAGGCTCGCTATACATATCAATTATCCCTGACATGGAAACAGTATTGATCGAATGGTTGGGTGACAGATGCATTTGTTCCACATTATTGTTCAAAATAAGATTTCTAGTGACCCAGACGGGGTGTAAAAGCACCAATCCTTCAGTTATGCAATCGGCAACCTGGCTACCAGATCTAAAAAAACAGATGAATACAGCAGTAGCCCTGTAACACACATTAGCCCCAGCCGCAACATTTATGAAACGCAGAGCAACACTATAGGATGCAGATGCTGGGATGCCCCACCACAGCCCGTGGATGCAGATCCCGTTACACTCTGGAAGCAGCAAAACAGTGAAAATTCAGTTTGTTGCAAGTAATTGTAGACACATCTGCCCTTAATGAAGGGTCAGTCCAGGAGATGTTACACATCTGTCTCCTATTAATGCAACAGCTGTATTTTTGCTTTTAACCTCCATCAAGCTTTACAAAACAACAAGGAAACAAGAGAAAGAACTCCCTATTCTAATAAAATGTTACAAAGTTAACTGGCTCATACAGGGAATAATGGGTACTTTTAAAACTGTTTAATTGATTGAATGACATCATCGGCCAATACTGGCCTGTTGTGAATTTATTGGTATAGGTTATTTTTCTAATATCTATCTATCTATCTATCTATCTATCTATCTATCTATCTATCTATATATATACATATACATATATGTTGGTGTGCCAGCATGCAATCTAAGAAAACAAATCAATCCTGACTCATACCTGGAACTTTCACCGAATCAAAGATCTTGGTTCAGGAAGACAAATGCTTCAGCGCACAGAAGACAATACAATCAAACAATGCAAACACACACCCCTGCTGACGTCACAACATCCCACAGCGTGATAGTGTAATCTGATTCTGTACAGGGCCCAGTTTAGAATAAAACCGTAGCTATGCAATTACACAGAGTATATTCAAAGCTCCCAGATTCATTAGATAGTGGATTCACAACTCAGGGGACAAAGGAACTGCTGAACTCACACGGCACCTCATTCCCACATGTAACCTGATACGCAACAGTGAAGCCAAAGGCAGAGCAACACACAAACAAAGGAGCTTAGCAACTAGGAGAGCGAGAGCTGGCGAGTGCCAAACCACCCATCCATCCGGAAGAAGAAAAAAAAAAGAGAAAAATCTCACCTCAGCGACTTTCTCACCTTTGCTCTTATCTTATCTGAGCTGAGCTGAACCCTGCAGGGCCGTCACTGCGCTCTGTCTCTGGCAGCTCTGTTTAAGTAAACTCAATTGAAGGTCTCCTTATATGGAGTTACATGGGAACAAAGAGTCAGAAAAGGATGGTATCAATCAGGCACAAGCAAGGTCAGTCTCTGACAGCTGTTGAGGCTGATAAAACTAATAATGCCGTAGTAAAAAAAAGTGCTGTAAAAATAGAAACGGTGCTCGAGCTCTAAAAATCTAAAAAAAAAAGAAGAAAAACTCTTTGAGATGAAGACATTTAAGTCAAAAGAAACACACCAAAGCTTTCAGATTTGAAATCTCTATCAGGGACGGTGTTTGTTTTCTCTGTCAGCTTTGCCGTTACAGTGAGCATTACTCTGCACACGACCGCAAAAATAGATGCCAAATTCATCCCAAGTGAACGACGTCGGGCTTTCGCACCGACGCGGTTAAGACGACAGATTTATACGCCGCTCTTTTTAGGAGTTGTAATTTTACTCTAGGTGGAAAAAAGCCAAGAGTGAACGTCAGAATTGCACACGTTAAGAAAATCTTAGTCGTCTAACCCTTCCTTGCCAAGCTTCCTAAGATCTTATCTGTGATTTAAGTCCTGTCTTCAGCCATGATAATAGCCACTTAGGAGCTGGATGTGATGCACGAGTAAGACAAACACAATGACTCCTGTGCACACTCGGAACAAAAGGACATTCTTGGCTGTCTTGAACCTCATTCCTGAGACTTCCTGACGTCAGCTGTTATGATATATGATCATTTTTTCCGGTGTGTGTGTGTCCAGCGTGGAGCTGGCTGCACACACGCTGGATACAGGATGATTCACAGGTAAATCTATCAGCTGCTCTCTTCTTCAGACATCTGCTGCTGATTATAATATCAGTCTATATTTATGCCTGTATCAGGTTGGCTTAAAAGAAATAAATAAATAAAGGGAGGGAGCTGTAAAGATGCTCCCACCAGGTAAAGTGAGACATCAAACTTTCATGATGCAGTAAACTAAAGCAAAGGTCAAGCCGGAGGTTGAGCAGATTGTGCAGATTTGTAAAAAAAAAAAGCAAAGACGAACCTTCGGCCGCTGTTTTATTGGGTCTGTTTTTATTGGTTCCCCGTGAGTCACATACCTATATTTCCATAGTGCTGAGTGGCCTGGTTTAAGCCTTTGAATCGCTGACCATTTATGGCGTGCTCAAACACTATCACGCAGGCAGGTTTCGATCAAAAACAGCAGTCCCTACCTACCACAAGCCAGCTGAGTACTTCGCAGCCGGCGTGCCAGTGCAGTTCCCTGGCAACGCCTTAGCGGTGCACAGCAGAGTGCAGAGCCCCAGGCCAAAAACATCAGATCCTATTAAGGCCACTTCTGCAGCAAGTCCTAGGGGATCTGTGCACCTCTAATCAGAGATCTTTGACTCAACAAGCACCAGGTGAGGTCATCACCCTATTGATATGCTATCATTGCC